CCCAAAAAATACGGGCGCAGTAATATGAGAACAGGGCCACTATATAAATTCTAGAATATATATAAATATATATATATATATATATATATATATATATATATATAGAGAGAGAGAGAGAGAGAGAGAGAAGAGAGAGAGAGAGAGAGAGAGGAGATGAGAGGAGAGAGAGAGAGAGAGAGAGAGAGAGAGAGAGAGGGAAAAGAATAGACCAGTTCTACTGATTGTAGGTGATTCCAGTCACAAGGAAATAAAGTGTGGGAACTGAGACACACAGGAACGGCCAGGAACATGGGCAACAATATTGATGGAGGCACCAGTGAAAAATTTTATGACCCACCATGACCTCATGAGAGTGAGGGCAGGAGGCGAACCAGCTCCACTAGACCTGGTTTTCACCTTAAGCGAAACTAACATAGATAACACTGAACATGGGCTGCCACTAGGAGCTAGTAACCACATGGTGCTCAGCTTTCAATACTTGGTAAAGGTGGGAGTGGAGGAAAGAAAAGGAGGTACAGATACTAAACCAAATTATAGAAGAAGGGATTGTGCAAGGATGAAAGACTTTCTATATGGAGTCCAGTGGGAGAGGGAACTGACTGGACTGACAAGACATGAGACGATGGAGGACCTCGCCAGAAAGTGACTGGTTGACAGGAACAAGGTAGACATCTAACAGGAGGTGTGAGACGTCAAGGTACGGAGCTCGAATAAGGTTCATAAGAGAATGGTGAAGTACAGAACAGAAATGATGGCAAGGAATATAAAGACAAGCAGAATAGCAAGGCATAAATATGCAAAGATAAGAGAAGGTGAACGTTAGTTTGAGAGGAAAATGACCGCAAAAAAAGTAATAATGCTGAAGAGAGGGAGAGAAAGGAAACTCACAGAAGACAAGAGAAAACTTTGCGAGGAATTACGCAGAAGATTTAAGGAGGTATTCACTTAGAAAACAAGAGTGCTGTAAGAATGCGGGGTTGAAAGGGCTAATTAACATTTATTGGGTAGACTTCATGTATCAAAGGAGGAAGTAATGAATTTACTAAAAGAGTCAGACCTGGAGCATGACAGCATATGACTATGGATACTGAAAAATAAGAGCAGAAAAAACTGTGAAAACCTATAGCAATGATCACAACTTGTCATGGAGACAGAAAAAAGCACCAGAGAGCTGGAAACTGCACACGTAATCCCAGTATACAAGCAGAGGGGGAGACAAGAGACATTGAATTATGGGCCAGTGTATCATTGACATGTATACTGCAAGTACTGGCAACACCCCAACACCAAGGGAGAAAAGAGTGATTGCCATTTAGTAAGTAGAACTGTTACAGTAGTAGAGGGAATTTAGGGAAAGGTGAGTCTTGCCTCACTAACCTACTGGAGTTGTACGAACAATAACGGAAATCAAGCAAGAGAGCAAGGAATGAGTTGATACTTTCTGGACAGTAGGAAAGCATTTGTTGACTGTACCTGCAGAGATTGATTCACAAGTTAGAACACGCAGAATGAACGAGATTATTACAAGGTGATGATAAGATACCTACCGAACAGATGACTGAGGGGATCGTAGATGTTTGAGAAATGAGAAAAGTGTAACAAGTGGGTACCCTAGGGTCAGTCTAAGACTATTATTCGTAGTTTAGGTAAATGACCTGCAGAGTGGATGGGTCCTATGATCCATTGTTAAACAATTGATTCTTGGAGTTTAACCCGGCAAGTGCAAGGTCATGATAACTCCTGTGAATGGAGAGAAGAGAGAAATGACCAGAGAACGAAATAGAAGATTGAGAGGTGAGAAATTACAAATAAACCTCATGAGTAAAGATCTTGGAAGTTAACATCCCACCAAACATATCACCAGAGGCTGACATAATTCTAATGTGACTCAGAGCATATGTGAGGATAACTAATTAAATACCTCAGAAATGTCAAAAAGATTCTTATAGGACCCTCTACACGACATGTAAGCCCTCATGGAGTATGCAGCACAGCATGGAACCCCTCACTCTGAAGCATAAACAAAAACAAGAAAAGTCCCAGGTTTTACAACAAGACTAGTCCCAGAGCTGAGATGATTGACTTATGAAAAGAGAATAAAGGAACTGAACCTGACGACTTTAGAAGGATTAGGGGAGACATGACTACGACATGCAAGATACTCAGAGGTTTTGACAGAGTAGAAAAGGGGGCCCAAAATTTTGAAATGAGAGGCCGAGGGGCGGGGGGTTATGACGGAAGCTAAAAAAACACAATAAAAAACCGGGGACATTTTAGCAAACAGTTTTCCGTTTCATTTGTTGCAAATAAGTTTAAAGGTTTTGGTACGGACGAGCCCAAGGGGGCCCCCAAAATTAAAAAACGGGGTTTTCCCCAAGGCCCCGGGAGGCCCAAAAAGGAGTGGGGACTCCCCCCCTTCCCCAAAAATTTCAACCCCCGAAAACCCACACCCCCAAA